TCAGAGTCATTTGGTGGAGATGGCTTGATTCAGTTTTTGAATGTGATCCAGTAGTCACAGGTGCACAATTAAGATGAGATGCTTCATGCAGTTTATAGCGGGTATCTTATTGATGTTGGCATGTTGTTTACGAGGAACTAGGTCTGAGCTATTACTAGCAGATTATGACCTTGCTGCAAAGTGAGAATGAGAAGATACTGAGGGGTCAGCCCATCTCCTTTCTTTTGTTTTTCTCTCTGGAACATTATTTCTGTCCATCCTTATTCCTGTTTTTGATTTTGAACTGATACTTACTGCAGCTTCTTCGGAAATGTCCAGAGCGTAGACTGGGAGCAGGCGAAAAAGATGCAGAAGAGATTAAAATCCAGGCGTTTTTTAAGGTAAGAACTCGCTTTGTTCCTCCCCCTCATTGCTTGTGTTTGAGCTGAGAGTGATTTGCTTTTCTGTTGGTATTGAGGCATATTTCCATTGGTTATCGATGAGACCTTAGTAGTAGCTTCTGTGGCACGTCATTGCTCTATTAAGGAGTATCTGTTTCAATTCATGTTTGAAGTGATACTCCCAAGTGTGTTTTCTGGGATCTGTAAGCTTCCAGAGCCAGTTTGTTGGTTTTGATTGTGCTGCTTCTATGTACAAATACACCTACCTTTTGAGCCATCAACAAGGTAGGTATATTTGTAAATAATATACCTTTTTAAATCAAACTGCAGCAGTCAAAGATGCTGTCTAGTCATGACAGTGCTTGCCAGTCAATTTCATGGCACCTGCATTTGCAGGATATACGTGAATCCTAAGAGAAATTGAGGTTAAAGGCACATTTGCTTTGGGTCAAGGCTATAATTCTGTTCCAGGCAAAGGTGTTACCATTCCTCCTTGTCCTTAACCATCTGCCAGAGGGTATTAGCCTTATAGCCCCTGGCTGGCTCTGCACTGGAGTAAGAAAAGAATTTGGATGTGAGCAGAAATTGCGGGGAAGTCCACAGATCCACCTGGCCACAGCTGCACTTTAGTATTGTCCCTCCTAAATATAGTTTGAGCTGTAACTTTGTTTCTTGGTCTTCTGAAGAACAGCCTTAGACTGTATGGAATCTCTGTACTACCTGGCCTGCACCAACTATGCTGGTTGTTTTGGGCCTTTTTTCAATTCTTTCTCTCTCAATAAGACACGTTGCAAAGGATCTGGAAGGGAGGCTGCAATCCTCCCTCTTACTTTGACATTAAGATTATTTATGAAATGTGAATCTGGCCTGTTCACTTCCTTCTCTTACAGGAGATTGATTGGGATGCCTTGTTTGCCAGGACTCTGAAGCCCCCTTTTGTGCCCACTTTAAGAGATCCGACCGACATTAGCAACTTTGATGAAGAGTTTACATCCCAAAAGCCAATCCTTACTCCTCCAGAGCAGGTTGCTTTCCTAACCCGTAAGGAGCAGACTGTCTTCAAGGACTTTGACTTTGTCTCCAGACACCTTTTAGATGTTTGATTCCTGTGCTATAAGAAACATGAACAGATTGTTACCACCTTGAGAAAGTGTAGAGAGGACTTGGCATGGGTGATGGAAAAGTCAACAGAATTCATAGAACTAACTGCTAATGCTGATGACCCCAGGATGAGGGTGCCCTGCAAGCTGAGGTAACCTACTGTGGTTTTTTCAGCCTCATTTGTTGGAGGGATACTGGATGTCAATTATCTTTAAGGAGTAATTAATGTTTGACTGGATTTATCTTCTGCTGCCATTGACTATAGATGGAAATTTGGAATTCAAGCTGGACTTAATTTAATGAAATGAAATCATCTCTACAACCCAGGTTACTCTTTGCAAAAAGCCTAAGTAAATAGTATGGCTTTTTAAAGTTGCATAGTAGCAGGCGGAATGGCCGCTTCTCACCTACTTTCTAGAAAATATATGCAGCATTCCCTCTTCATAATGATTTTATGCCCATTCCCACTCATAACTATGTGTATGCCAGAGAAGGAATGGATTTTAACACAACCAAGACAATGATGTTTGGGTTTGATAATCCTGCAAGTGATCTATCTTAAGGACAAGAAGTCTCTTTCTACTTCTTTGAGGATGCTACATCTTAGCTATTGTTTTTAGTGATATAAAAAAGCCACAGCTTTGCACATGCTATTGTTTGGGGTTTTTTTAAATAAAGATACCTTTCCTTATAACGAAATTTCAGCTTTTCATCTCCTTTGTGCTAACTGAATGTTTCAGATCAGGGCTAACCATATTCTGCTCAACAGGCAGAATTTTATTTTTCTCTGTAAATGTCAATAGTAATATTTTCTTTCTTCTTTCCTTCTCACTCAAGTTGTCTGTGTACATATTGCATGGTGTCATCAGCTGTCACATACAAATGATTGCCATCAAGCTGTCTCTCCACAGATTTTATCAATGGGTATATCCTGTATCTTTTTTGAGATAGCTAAATAACGACAGTGTTAATATTGGAAAATCAGTAAGTTAAAGGGGATTTCATTTGCCTGGTAACATATCTTGTAATTATGCTTGATAAGATACGTTTTCTTCTCTTAAATTCATGTTAGCTTGTTGGGCAAAAAAAGGAAGGGTATCCAGAAATGAAGCATCACACTGATGACAAGTAGAGGACACAGAGCTATTATTCTTTCAGTTTGCCTTCAGCAGAAGTAGACAGAAGTTGAATGCAATGGTGCTCTATCTGGAGATAAGATTCGGGTGCAGCTAGTGAGTCGTCATTATAAAGTCAAGGCTGGTCTAAGTGCTTCAGAATTCAGAGAGGCAAGAGCCATGTTTGTGCAAAACAGAAATAATTCACACTGAACCTAGACTTCCTATTTTCAGAGCCAAGTGTAACTGCTTATGAAAATTCCTGCGTACAAATACCCTTTCAACCTCCTGCTCTGCCTTGCAGTGTGATGGCCCATTTAAGGCAGGATACACATTTTCCTCTCCTCACTTTTGTTTGAATAGTAATGGTTGGTTTGCTCTTGGCCCCTACGGTGTGTTTTGTGACTTTTCTTAAGGTCAAGGCCTCTGTAAAGTGGTAAGGAGCACAGTGGATTGTTAGCACAGGTGAAAACTAGAACTTGGGCTCAGAGAGAGTCATAAAGAACAAAAAAAAGGCATATTTAATATTTTAATTTATAGTTTATAGTAGAGTAAAAAAGACTGTAAATTACCATCCTGGTGCATTTTAAAAAGAATTACAAAACAGAGCAAAACTGTGTTTTGAGCTGTAGTACCCGCTGACAAACTTTTATTTGACTGATACCTGAAGAACCAGCAATCGCGATGTGGCAGATAAGCCATACTTCAGCAGGCACCACACTGACACAAACAAACTGGAGAATCCTTTCTGGATGGTATACCGCTGTTATGAAAACAATTCTTAGCGTTCTCATATCCCCCTGATAGGAGTTTCTACCCTGAACAAACCAGCCTTGGCACAGATTACAAACTCTGGAGCTGGTCAAAAAAGGGATCCTTCTGCTGTTTTCAAACTGCTTTTGGACTATCGTGCCATATTAGTGACTACACTGTCCTTTCATGAGGGCTCATCAACTTTAAACCCTGAGTGCATCCTGCCAGATGTGCTCTTGAGCTGGTGTTAATTCCTGAGCCAAGGCAATTAAAGCACAAAATAGTTTTAACTAAGCTTTTGTTGTGGTGCTGGGGTTTTTTTTTAACAGAAAAGGGTCAGGACTAAAATTCATTCCACAGTCTTTTCTGTTTTTAAAGCTAAAACTGGTCACCCGGAAACTCCTTTTAGTTCCTCATAGAAACTGGAAGTATGACCTTTCATTAGAATAGAAAACAAATCAGGTTGCTGCTATCCTAGAAAGCTACCAGCACCCCCTCATCGCAATGAAACAAACAAGACCTAGAATCTCCTCTTGCATAGAAACTTTGTATTTTTTTAATTAAAATTTTACTAGTATGTTGAGGTAGTAGTATTACCAACAGTGTTATGTGAGCTAGACAAGAAGTACCCACTTCTGCTACTGGTTCTCTCCCTGCAAGCTACAGTAAAGGCCTGGGCATGAAGTTAGCTGCAGAAATAATTCAGTAGGCAAGTATTACTTTTCTGTCTAAAGAAAAGTGGATGGTATCATTCTTCGCTGACTTGATTCAAAACAGTCTGTGAATTGTTAACAGCACCATCAACTTAAAGAAAAAACTGTTAGGAAGCTGGTCAGGGCATCACGAAGTACAGGCTAATTATCTCTTATAAGCTGAATTTGGTGCCTTACAGCTGTTTCTCATGCACATTAACACTATTAAGTCTCAAATCTTTGTGAAAAGCATTAAGTTGAGGCATGCGGTCAAAATGAAATTTGCTTTTGAATGTCCAAATATTTACTCAAATATTTCTATTACATGCCCAACCCTACTGACAAAAGGCACTGCAGTTCTCACAGTGAGAACTATGTTGAAGAAAGGCCACAGGAATGATATTGATTCTGGCTGGTTTTGTCTGTAATAGCTGCTGTTCCCTAGCAGCAAAAGGAGAGGGAAACTTTGGGGAAGAGAAGTGAACATGGATTCTCGCACTACCCTTGCATCTCTCCTGGAGAGAGGTGGATGCAGTTAACAAAAGGAAGTAAATTTAGAGAGACACCTTTGCTCAGTCCAGAAATCAGCTCTGCTGGCCTTCCCAGAACCAGTGTCTCGCGTTTAACACTGTTATTTGTATACAAAAAATAACCCTGACTATCCTTGAAATGTAATTTGCAGGATGAACAGGTGGTGGAACAGGTTACATAATTGGTGATGTACTAAAGTTCTGTGCAAGGAAACAGCAGCAATTGCATTAGCAAAGCTTTACCCAGCAACCTGCAGATGTGTTGGCACTCGACCAGGCAGGTACTACTGCGACTAGACAGGCTCACTGTTCCTGTGAAAGTAGATTTTCTCCCATGCAGTGAGGTGGCATGAACAGAAGAATCTCCAGAGATTGAGGATTACCCCTTGGTCAAAGGGATTCTCCAACTCAGAGTGTCGCAGGTAGGAGATGCGATGATGTGACATGAATTCCCAGGTGGTGGTGTTGCATGAGATCAGATAGAGGTGTGAAATAAGCAGCAGCAGAACAACAGTTGTGAATATGACTATCAGGAGGAAGGACGTGAGGAGGAAAATGTTGTGCTGCAGCCAGTCCCAGGACTGTTCAAAGTAGAGGCCTGACCTTTCAATTCAAAGAGAAATAAATTTGTAGTTAAAGATGTAGAACTAGTTACATAAGCCAAGCAAACTTGATGGCACATTTAAGTTTGATTCATAACTAGTGAGCTTCTGATAATCATGTACTACAGAGAGTTAATATACTACAAACTCTTAAGAGACTGCACCAGTAGTGACTTAGAATCTAAGAGGTTTAAAAGATGCTGATTCCCCTGACAGCTGAGACAATCATCTCCTGAACAGGCATACAGCTGAAACCCTGCTGGAGTTTCCAGTACCTGGATTTGTAAACAAGGATTGTATTACAGTAACTGAAGCAAAATTAGTTACCTTATGTACTGTTGTTAATTCTGTTAATTTAAGCTTAAAACAAAGATGAACAATGAAACCTAAATTATCGGACTCTGCTCACCTATTGATCAGCTATGTTGTCCCTCAGCAGATTAGGGGGCTCCAGGATGCAAGAGGGTGAAGATACAAAGCCAATCCGGTCACTGCTATGTTCTACATAAGCCCCTCAGTGGGGCTCTAGGAGCACCAGAACTTTTAGTGATCTCAAAGTGCCGCCTCCAGGCCTTACCAAGCAACGTGACCTCCCCACAGCAGAACTACAAGCTGCACGGTCAGGTAGACTATGAAGAGAGGGTGATTCTTCTCTCCTACGCAGTTCTCAATCCAGGGACAGTGATGGTCGTAACGCCGTACACAGTGTTGGCACAGCTGGCAGTGCTTGGCTCGCATTGGTTGCTGCAAAACAGAAACAAACAAGAAAAAACCCACTAGCAATAGTCCACTGCTGTTCAACTCCCTGTTCGGTAGAGGAGAACATCATGCAAAATTGTCTTCCTCCACAGCAGCAGTGTCTCAAAAGCACTCTGCTTTGAGATAACCAGCACCACATTGCTGAGACAACTAAAGGGGATCGTTTTTCCCCTGGTACAGATCCAAGTGAGTGAGATTCAAATTAAATGACTCTCCCATACTACTTCTACCTATACATTTTCTTTTATTATCTACCTATTTATAGGAAGTCCAGTGTGCAAAGGAGGGAGATGGAGCCAGTCTCTTCTATTCAGGAAAGCAGGAGCAGAGTGTTGAGGTGAAAAACTAGGACCACAGCTATTGAAGAAAGTGTGCAGGGATGGAATGTCTTTATGGGACTGCATGGAGGAGGGAAGTGCCTCTACTTCTGTGTGAATACAAGACACTTGCACAGGAAAGCAGCTCAAGTACCAGGAACAGAGAAGATGAAAGATCTGGCTGAGGAAAGTAGTATGAGTGTGCCTGAAGCTTCATTTGTTCCCTGAAGCGTATACATGTTTTGCCAGCTTTTCCTCTTGCAATAGGCTAGCTTCTCCTGGTAGATATTCTTCAGGAATTTATGGAAGCTGGGATAATGCTTGATTTTATTAAACTGATAAGCATCGCTCTGAAAATAGGCACTTTAGGCCTTAGGGAAACTGTTTTAAGAGCCAATTTAATTGCTCTAATTTTTGTTTCATGCTATCTTTTACAACTCAGGCTAATGTTTTGTTGGTTTTAGGCCTCCAAACAAGCTCACAGCTACCAACAGTTCTTGTATGTCATGCTCAACTGCTTTTCTGACTCTTATCAAGATACCTTCAAAATAACCTTTTTGACAACCTGGTCTAGTGGAAGGTGTCCCTGCTGATAGCAGGGGGGTTGAAACTGGATGATCTTTAAGGTCCCTTCCAACCAAACAATTCTATGACTCTACGACAATACTGTAAGGTCTGACTGACATGGCAGTAAGAATGTAGAATACAGTTTTCCCAGGGCAAAAGAAGATCCTTGTTTCTGTGAGCCAGCAGGGACCTGTTTCAGCCTTGGAAAACTAGCATATGTGCCAATGTCCATCACTACTACACCGTTAGCTACACAATTTGGATCACTTTTCAATTCAGGACTGTATCTGAATTCAACTTGCTAGTTATATTTACTTTTTTCTGTGAGTTTTTCAGCAGG